TTGGACTTTGCTAACCATGTGCTTCTCTGTAGCTAAATGGTATAGCATATCAGATCACATGACAGTTTCCATATAGGAAAGGAAGGTTCGATTCCTGTCAGAGAATGCATATTTTCTACAAAAATTTCTGGAACACTCAGGGCCAGGAAAAGTAATTAATACTGTTTAATTAAAAATCAGAGCATTTACTTAAATAAATTGTATCTATAAAAATAATGTATAAACAGAAAATATATTAAATGGTTGTCAAAATTAATCCATTTCATTATATGTTGTCATTGTTTGCATAAATATACATTTTGTGAGCAGATATGATCGATCAAGAAAAATCATCAAAGATTGTGTGTTTAAAAACAATAATTTGGACTTTGCTAACCAAGCACTTCTCTGTAGCTAAATGGTATAGCACATCAGATCAAATGATGGTTTCTGTATAGGAATACATGTTGTATACCTGTCAGAGAACAGATATTTTCTACAAAATTTCTTGAACATTCAGGCCGGTAAATGTAATTACTAGTGTTTAATTAAAAAACAGAGCATTTACTTAAATTGCATCTATAAAAATAACATATAAACAGAAAATATATTAAATAATTGTTGGACATAATCCATTTCATTATATAAATGTGCGTACGTGTGTGCATGTATGTAAAAATTTCAGGTATATCTGTAAAAGGACAATATGAATAACGACAAAAGGAAAACTTATCTTAGCTGATGTGTTTTGTCCTCTAAGTGACTTTATCAAGGCTAATGCAAGGATTTTATTTTGTGACAAGTATTTATATACAAGAGCAATAATGCTATTTGTTTCTCAAAATTTTTTGAAAAGGAATGCTCATGAATATTCATCAGGTTAGTGGAAAAGTCAGTTAAGTTCAGACATAATTCATACTTTTTAAAAAATGTGGCATCTATTCAAATATGGGTATTCTTTAAAATAATATTTGGATTGAAAAGAAATAGTCTAAATAAAAAAATAAAATAAAATCTATTAATTCCTTATATACTTATATACAAACAAAATATAGGTCAATGATAAATCATGCAAAAATTCAAAAATATATCAATATTTTAATTCCTAGAGAATCTTTTAATTTTAAAAAATATCCCAGATTTACTTTACTAATGTGAATTGCATTTCCTAATTTTCTTAAAAAAGAGAATATATAATCAACCAATGAATTTATTGTCATCGTAGCAAACAACAAGTCCTTAAAGCCAAGCATTCATCATATCCATTCTGGCTTCAATCATTCTGGCTTTATGAAGTTCATGCAGAGAAAAACCAAACGAAAATCAAAGGCATTTTGCAGTCTCAAGAATGTGGTAAAATAGAGATGGAATTGGTAAATTGGTTCCTAATCAATTACCAAAGGTGAACAGTGCAAGTGGTTGCCTTGGCTACTTGACTTCATTCACCACAGCATCAAAGAAAGACTTTATAATTTGTCAATTATCTAATAATGTCTGGAAAATTCAACAAAATTCCCAAAGTGTTGGTAGCTGCAAAAGATCAACAGGATTCCATTGAAGAAAATTCCCTATTGATAGACACAGCATTTCAGATTAAAAAATACAGAAAACATACATTTTGATGGTAGCACATTGATTATTTGATGCTTCCAAAGTAACTGAGTCTATTAGAAGATTATCAATTGAATTTCTGGATGACAGAAACAAGATAACTGCAGCTCTATATGATAAGGATAAACTTTGCTGAAGTCAAAATATTGGGTTAGTTATCAGATTATTACCTTTTGAAAAAAAAACAATTATCATTGAATTAAGTAAAGTTTAAGCAATTTATTTTGTGACTGTTTCAGAAACCGAGTTACATCTGACAGTTGAAATGGCTTGATTTCTCTGTATTTCTATGCTAATGATTTCTTCTACCATAATTCTCACTTGTAGAACTCTCTTTCAGCTTATTGCTTCCCAGTCAAATTTGATCTTAAAAACAAACATGTCTCTGTATCTTTGGTATTTCTTGATATGAAACTGTAACTAGAGTTTGCTGTATTTCTTTCCCACCTAACATATATAAGACTCTATAGATAAAAACCTAGTCTGAAGAATTCCTTTCAAGGAACAAAGCATCTAACATTGAAATGTTATTTTTCATTTTGTCATTCAGTTATCCAATATTATTCTAATATATTTTTTATATAATATCTTCCATATTTTGATTTGTATCACACATTCATCTCAATGTGGTAGATGAAGCTATTGATTCAATGTATTTGTTCCATCTCAGGTCAGCGGACAGTGTGAGACCAAGCAGTCATAGAGAGGTTCTCTCATGGAGTTGAGCATCAGTCATTCTAATGAGAGGCAGGGGGTTCTCTGTGGTGGGTAAAAGAGAGCAGTTTAGTTTTTGAGGTATTAAAGTTAACCAGCCATTTCTTGTCCCAGTCAACAACAGATTGGTGGTCCTTGTCGAGACCAACCACATTCACATTTAGACATACACATACACCACATTTACACATACACGTTATGCATATTTACAGACATACACAAACACCACATTCACATTTACACACAAATAACACATTCACATTTACACACAAATAACACATTCACATTTACACATACACCATATTCATATTTACAGACATACACATACACCACATTCCCATTTACTCACAAATGTTCTCACCCACACTCATACAAATGATCATGACACACTTCACATACTCAAATCCATGAAGATGGGCACATGATAACACATGTGTAAATATGCACATACATAAATGAAAAACATTGCACCAATGATAAGTTCATATAAAAAAGAAAAATTGCATAGTATAAGCAGTCAACTGCTGATACCCCTGACGAGTGGATGGCTGGCTCTATCAATGAAACTATGGAGTCATGATTCTGAAGGTAACATCAATCAGCTAAATGACAAACCTTTTACTAATATTAATTCTTTTGCATATATATATATATATATATATATATATATATATATATGTGTGTGTGTGTGTGTATATATATATATATATATATATATACATAGCTTGCATATTCATATCAATACACATTCCTTAATACAATAGTTATTCAAGTCATATATAAAACCCTTTTCAACCAATCAGTACTGCAAACAGAATAATTTAATTTATAGAAAAACTCTTGAGGCATTTTACAAATATTGTTTTAACTTCTCTAATAGAAACTAAGCAGTGAAAACTTGTCATTTCATTCAACTGTTTTTCTTTTGTCACTGTCTGTATTAATTTCTCGAAATCTAACTCTGACAATGACATACATGTCTTTCTTTAGGGGAGCAATATTGTTATTTTTTTTTACTTGTTTTTGTTTCAGTGTTGTTGTTGCTTTTTTACTGTTGCAAAAAGAAAATGGAATAGACCAAGTTGTAACAATAATGTTTAATGAAAAAATAATTTGTAGAGATACATTATCTAACATGAGTGTCACACAAAAATTTCTAATACTAATCAATTATTTATAATACATTTTAAATATCATATTGCATTGCATTGATGATGTTTAACAATGAAAGATACAAACTCATTTCAAAAGCAAATGTTCACATAAATATATTATCTGTTTATAGTATCAACAAGTAAATGTCACCGGACATTGTTGTCCACAGTAAATAAATTTCCCTGTGGATGGTAAAATCTGCAGATTCTATCAAACCATACATGGTCTAGAAATGGTTAATAGGAATTTTAATAGATTATTTTAATAACATAATTTTAATATGTTAATTTATAACATAATTAAAATTTGACAAGTTTTTTTAGTTTCTTCTTGTCTCTGTCAGAATGAAAAAGCCCCTAATTTTTGTAAGAAAGAAAAAAAAGCTCAAATTTTTGTGATCAACAAAAAAGCCCCTAATTTTTGTGAGAAAGAAAAATAAGCTCAAATTTTTGTGATCAACAAAAAAGCCCCTAATTTTTGTGAGAAAGAAAAAAAAAGCTCAAATTTTTGTGATCAACAAAAAAGCCCCTAATTTTTGCAAAAAAAGAAAAAAGCCTAAAATTTTTGTGAGAAAGAAAAAAGCCCATAATTTTCGCATGAAAGAAAAAAAGCCCAAAATTAATGTGAGAAAGGAAAAAAGCCCAAAATAAGTGTACAATTTCCATACATAAATAATTTTTCTGCCTTTGCGGATCATAATTAGCAACGATTGCTTGTTTCAATTATTTCTCATTATCCCAGTCAATTAATTATCATAATCAATGTATTGTCAAGTAATATGATTTTTATTAATATCTATGTTCCATAATATAAATCAGTCATGCTGAGAACTTCGTCTGTTATTTGATGCTATAATGTTGTAAAATGCTAACAATGCCACATTTTGTAGAAGTCAAAAGACTAAATTACACAAGAGTAATTCTTTGACAATTGTTTTCTTGTACCAACAAGTAATTACTCCATACAGTGAATGATTCAACTCTTATGCAATTCTCTTGATATTAAAATAGTATAGATTTTCTCAATCAGCATATCGGCACATCCACATCATTTTTACTTGGCTAGAATAACTTGCAATGTTAATTTATTTCTCATATGCAGCCATGCCATGGATATAGCAAGTGGATACTTCTCGAAACAGAAATACAAATTTTTATTCTACTTAAATAGCTTAAATATCTGTAGATATCTGAGTTCAAGATTTATTAAAATGTGTCCAAAAGAAGATGATAAAAAAACTGTTAAATTAGAATATTGGTCTGTTTTATATATTTTTCTTTTTAGAAATTTATGATTAGTATTTCTTTATTTCCACAAGTGACAGATTTTACTGTCAAATATGATTGTTTTGTTTTTTATGGCTTATCAACCTTATTTTAAAGACAGAAGATATTTTTAGAGATAATATTGATTTAATGATAAAAGTCCTACTAATTAATCCATAGCTGGGGAGAGAAGAGCTGGATTCATATATTTCCCAACTGGAATTGTAACTCAGCTCTATGATTTCCAACTCTGAGCCATTATCAATTGCACCACCTGCACTCGGTATCCCCAAGTGGTCACCCATTTAGGTACTGACCAGACTCAACATTGCTTAACTTCAGTGATTGTTTGAGAACCAGTATTTCAATGTGATATGGCTGCAAGCCCTGTAAAATATGTGTTACATGACACAAAAAGATAAATATATATTGAAAAATGTTATGTCTAGAAATAGGGTTATAAATTAATCATGATTAAATATGATATTTCGCTATGGTTCATGGTGGTGATTATGTTAATGATATAGATATTAGAAGTATAATAGAGATAATTATGCAGTATAATATGAATATTAATTATGAATATAATATGAATATTAATTGCAATCATAGAAATTTGCCAGGCACTGAAAATTAAGATTAACCATTATCATATGCTTCTGCTCTTCTCATACCTTTTGCCTGTATCTTCTTAATTATTTCCTTATCTCTTCCAATCTTTCTTGCCAATCTATGATTTTATCAATATGCTTTATAAACATGATTTAGTTTCTGTCTATATTTCTAATTATTTACAGCATTTAGAGTGTTGACCTCATCTTTATTGCCATATTCATGATGTTTTGGCTGTTGTACACTCTGACCATCTCCAGGTGATATGTATTGTAATTTCAAACCCTTTATTTAGTCTGTGGAAGTAGATTGTTTTAATTCCACATGTTATGCCATTTTTGGAGATCTCAGTTTCAGTTAATTAGCTTTAGTAACTTAACTCTCCAAGTTTTTGTTTCCTCTGCTGTGACCAGTGGATAAAAGCGTTGGTTGAGCAATTCAAAAAGTCACTTGACATAATGAGATCTGACTTCAATATCCTGCCACATATGGCAATAAGATGAGGATAACAGTCTGAACAATGTAAATAGTGTAAATGATTTAGTTTCATATGCTAAAAAAGAATAAAGAAACCACAATTATGTTCTACTTTAACCTCTCTTTTACCTTTCTTTTGATCTATCATGCCACCAAGCGTTTTAATTTATCACAATTTTTATGCTTTTCCATCCCTAGCTGCCTTCTATTTATTCTGTTAACATCCAGCTAGTAAGCCTAAGTCTTTCCTTTGTCTCAATACTCCTCTCTATATATGTATACTTTTTCCTTTCACCTGGTTTTCTTTTCAGTTTTCTTATGCTTTCTTACCTCTTCTTTCCCCTCCACCTTTTTCTGCCATCTCTCTCTTGCTTTCTTACCTCCTACTTTTTCCTCCATCACGCTTTCATATTAGTAATAATATTTAATTTTTTTAGATGAAGCAATGTAAATTAATAGTTTTTTTTTACTCATATTTCTTTATCTTAGTTTCAGTTGCTTTTTACCACAACTCTGAGACTATCATTCTATGGTCATTAGAAAGCAGTAATAGTCTGCATCAAGATTCAAAATCACATCCCTTATTGCTTATCTCAGAATTTTTCATGAGAAATACCAAAATTTCTGGCACTTTTTTTTTTAGGAATCAACAATATCTGCAACAATATTTTAGGGAGATAATTTCTTTGTTTATAGTCAAGACAATCGATTGTCAATGTTAATGGTAATATTAACCATTTACTTATAAGGAAACATTTGGCAACCAGTGCTACTTTTAGTTGGAATTTGTAAAACCTTTCTATTAAAACATTTTCTCCTGGGAAATGGTCTTCTCAATTCACTCTTTCTAGTAGTAATAGAGTGTGAAATGTCAACATCTTGAATATACCATTATTTTGTCTTTGGGTTATATGTGATATCTATTTTAGTTGTTGCTGCTGTTGAAAGTCTTCAATTGATGTGGTTTCAGTTATTTGGTACAGTTCTTTGTGATTCTCTAGTACTACTCTTGAAGAGGGATGATCCTTTCTAAGATCTACATGCTTTATTTACTTGAAGACAAGTTTTATCATTGATCTGAAAAAGCAGTTGCAGACAGCTGGATTTAGATATTTCTGAATGAAATGGACACCATGCATGAGATCAATATCAGAGCCTGGATCTGACAAGGTTATTTAAGAAAATAACTCATGTTCCTATGTTGATGTTTTGGTTTTGTAGCAACACACAGTGTTGTATGAAACTACCCCAAGCACAGCTTAATCTATGTTCAATTTCCTTATCTCCTATACTGAATTTGTTATACCTGATCTATATACTGAGGTATTTGAAGTGTTTAGTATTGGCTAATTCCACATCCTGAATTTTTATGATGGATTGTGGGTATCTGCCATCACTGCTTTCATTCCAATTCCAGATCATAGTTTCTGTTTTGGAAAGATTTATCTTGTCTTATTTCTTAGAACACTTGGCAGAGAATATTGATTTTTTAGAAAACCTCATTAGTGAATGTGTAAGGTGAAAGTGTTTGTAAAAGCCTCAATAAACCAAACCACTATAGAATTAAATATAAAACATTAACTTGAAAATTTGAAGGCAATCCAAATAAAAACATGTGTGACACAACACATGTGTATGATATATGATACACAGATCTTATAGAGACTAGCAATGAGCAAGAGTTATACAGAGCCATAAAAGTGGAACTGGATGGTTGCCACAAGCCTGATAAAATGAAAGGAATGAATTTTAATCATAAATTACAATCTTGATGATATGATATTTAATAAGCTAAGCTTTTATAGAGTATAAGGCAAACACTATTTTGATAACTTTTCCTACATTTTGTTTCCAGAATGAGGCTTTAACACAAAATCAATCAAGACTTCCTTTTCTGTAATTCCTTGCAAACAAAAATAACAGAACAAGGACCTGCCTGTGTAACTCTTGAGATCTATATAAAAATACTATAACTGTACTTTAATTATGATACTCTTGTAACAGATTTGTGACTGACATATCACTTGATATGACTCTCCTTGTTAAATTTAAATAATTCCCACCTCATTCCCAGCCTTGTTCCTGATACGTCTTTTTCGTGCCATGTCACTTCAGAGTATTAGTGATCACAACTATCCACAATTTCCTATCTTTTGCAGTTTTTAGCAATATTTGTCTTTTTACTACCTCTCCTGTTGCTTGTTCTGTCATCCATTTACGCAAGCTCATTAGGTAGGTTACTCATGTTTCCCCTATTCAACATCTCACCTTCAATATGCCGTCTGTGTGACAAATTTTCCAAACTCCCTTTCCTCTTTACATAAGACAAAAGAGACATAATTGCAATCTATTCTCATTGAGTATGGCTGTTTTAACACAATGGTTGAAGTTCATAAAATGTCATCCTGAAAATTGGGGTTTTAGTTAAAATATTCTTAGAAAAATATTTTCAAAGAATGAAAAACAAAATATATAATATTAACTGACACATTACATCATATACTTAAAATTGGTATTTTAATGTACTATAATGTACTAATTTTAATGTACTATATTTTCTGTCAAAACTGTGGATATATTATGTGTGTATGTATATATATATATATATATATATATATATTGAACAATAAAAAATATTAAAAAATTAAAATCTTCACACTGGGTTGTATATTAATATTCCTTCATTTTTATTATTATTTCATTTAGATTCCTTGACTAGTTTCGGCCAACATGGCCATCATCAGGAGAAAAATAATTTTCTGCTTGCTGGTAGTTGTGAACTACAGAAATGAATGTCTTGATGGAGAAAATGAACTTTTGTCTGTAGTTTTCATTTGTTTTTTTATTTTTTTAACACAAATTTTGGTCAGTCTTTGTGTTGGTCAAACAGTCTCTTTTAAGTTGTTATTTGAGATAACAGCTAGATGGATTCATGCTGCTCTGAATTCCCTTGGTCATTTTGACAGTTTTATTGGTTCCTGGAAAGGGGATGTGTCTCTGTTAAGTGTGTGTGTGTTATTTGGTTCTTAGGGAGTGAGTGAGCATGATGTGTGTAAGCGTGTATATTACTATGGGTATGTGTTATCATTTGGCTCATTAGGGTGTGAGTGAGTATGATGCGTGTAAGTGTGTATATTCGTGTGGGTGTGTGTATAAGTGTGAGGCCTCAACACCTCCATAAGCATGTCTGTCTTGTGTGGGTGAGAAATGTGGGTAGGTTTTCATTTGTAGGTTTATATATTAATACTATCTATATTGTTAAATTTATGGTTAAGCCCAACTGGATATTGTGTTTATATATATATATATATATATATATATATATATATATATATATTTCAGTGGCAACACTAGGTCAATGTTTGTCAGGCTCATTACAACATTTAACAAAATATACTATTGGTATAACTTAGATGCAGAAATGATTCATTACTTTAACTAAAATATATAATTTGTAAAAATCTTTGTGCATGAAATAAAAAAAATACATTTTGGTATCTTAATGTTAATTGTAATAATTCTGTAAAAATAAACATTCATTTTTTTTTTAATTTTCCAGACATGTAAGAAAAAAAGAGTGAGAACAAAGTCTTTTATATGTTTGTCTGTTTATTGCTCCATTTCCAATTTTTATTGTTTTATAGCCAGGTTATCAAGTCAATGATGGTAGAGTATGTGTTTGTATATATGTCTATGTGCATCTATGTATCTCTGTGAATTTTAATTTAATTTATTGTACATTTATGATCAGCACCACTGACTGAAATCATATTTCCTCAACAATTCCCTAGTCACACTCCTCACCACAATCCTCCAGTCAATGAGTTAAGGTTGCCACTTTCTTTGATTTTCACTGAATTTAAGTTGGGTTAAATTTAATTTGACCTTTCTCAAAAGATACATTTCACTAAAAAGCCTGATACTGTATGGAATAAATAAATTGTAATGAAAACGTATTCTTTGAAAAACAGGGAATACAAATCATTAGAGATTTTAAAAAGATTATTTATAAAATTAAAGCAAGAAATACATTCCCTATTAAATATGTCTCCAGCTTTGATAGGGGCTCAAATTTACACAGCCCAACTAGCTGTGGTAATTTTATTTCACTCTTTTTTTTACTTTCTTTTTTTTTTTTTTCTTTCTTTCTTCTTTATTATGAATAATATCAACAAAATGTATTTTGGTCAAATTTTGAGGCCCGGAGTTAAGACAATTAATTTTGGAATCCAACTGAAGTCAAGAATGAAAACAATGCACTACAAAAGATTTTTGTTGCTTTGAAATAGATGAGTT